CCCCCCCCCCATCTGCCCTCTCTCAACTCCTGCTCCAGATCCGCCGTCAACAAATTGAACAGCATTGGGCTTAATGGACATCCCTGTCTCACTCCTCTTCCCGTTCAAAAACACTCCCCCAGATTCTCCCCTACTCTCACTCTATTCCTTATCTCCCTTAACATATCTTCACACCTTACCACTAGTCCTTCCTTTACCCCTCTGACCCTCATTGATTTCACTAGCGTGTCTCTATCCACGGAATCAAATGCGGCTCTCAGATTCACGAAAAGTGCAACCATTTTCCCCCCTGGCTTGCTGACCTGCCTATTTATTAAATAATTTAACACATATATATTATCCATCGTTCCTAAACCCTTTCTGAATCCAGTTTGATTCTGCGGAATCATACCCTTTCCCTCCACTTCCTCTCTTAACCTATTTGCTACAATCTATGCATATACCTTATATAAACTCGTCGTCAATGATACCCCTCTGTATTCCTCCACCTTTACGCCCTCCTCCTTCTTCATAATCGGAACTATAATTTCTTCGTTCCATTCCTCGATCCATCCTTCTCCCTTCTAAATCCTGTCACAAATCATCCATACCCAGCGTTCCATTTCCTTCGCTCCATATTTCCACACTTCTGCCGGAATCCCATCAACCCTTACCGCCTTTTTATCCTTCATCCCTTCCAGTACCTCTTTCACTTCCTCCCATCTTAATCCCTTCTCCTGATCTTCTTCCCTTCCCTCTCCCAATCCTCTCCTAACTCTCCCATATACTCCTCCCAGCATGTCCCTGAAATATTTATCCCAATCCTCCCTACTTATCCCCTCATTCACTCTATTCCTCTTTCTTGCTTTCCCCATCAGCTCCCACACCTGCCCCTCTGTTCTAACATTCTTCAGCTCTCTTTCCCACCTATCATTTTCCTCCTTCCTTTTTCTCTCTGTTAATTCCCTATACTCTATTCTTTCTTTTCTATATAATTGCCTAGACCCCTCCGCTCTTCTCCATCTCCTTAGCGCCTTTCCCTTTCTTTTCCTCACACTCCTCATCCCACCATCCTCTTCTTATTCTATCCCTCCTCTTTTTGTTGCCTTTTTCCAAAATATCTTTCACCTGCCTTCTCATTTCCTCCCATACTTCTCTTACCTCCCCCTCCATCCTTGGTAATTCCCCTATCGCCTCCCTGAATTCCTCTTTCCCTTCATCTGTCCATATCCATCTGCTCATTCTTCTATTCCTCCCTTCACTCTTCCCCCGCCCTCCCTTAGCTCTTGCAATCTTCACTACGAAAGGGTGGTGATCTGAGTCTACGCAGTCCTCTACCATCATTCCGCTTATCTTCTCCCTTGTCTTCATGCTTCCCAATACGTAATCTATAACTGAATCCTCTCTTCCCCCTGTAAACGTCAATTCTTCCATCCTGTCTCCATCTATATTCCCATTAAAAATTGCCCACCCCATCTCCTCTATCCTTCTTATCAAGATCCTCCCCTCACTATTTATCTTTTTATCTTTGGATTTTCTTCCCCCCTTCTCTTCTTCCCAATTTTTTTCCTCTACTCCTCCACCTTCTTCCCCTGTTCTAGGGTTAAAGTCTCCTCCTATTATTGTCCTTACTCCGTCCCCTTCCTCCATCCACTCCCTCATCCACTCCAATTTCTTACCCATGTTTCCGTTAATATATACTCCCACAATCCTCCATTTCTCCCTATTTAACTCTATCCTCTATCCCCTTTTCTTCCCTCTCCCTTAATCCCCCTTTTCTCTCCCTCCCTTCTCCCCTCCCCCTCTCTCCCTTCCCCCAGCATCTGAACTTTATCCACTATGACTCCTTCTTCCCCTCCATTTCTCCTTAATTCACCCCTCTTTTTATCCCATGCCCACCATTCTTCTCCAATCCACGCTCCTCCCTGCCCGACCCTCGCCCTACTCCCCTTCCATTCCCTCTCTAATGCCACTCTTCTGGCATTCCATCTAATCCTCCTTTCTTCCCAAGTTAGATCTTCCTCTATCCATACATCTTTGCCTTTCAGCTTCCATTTGCTCTCCAAAATCCTCCTTTTAACTTCTTCGCTCGTCATCCTTACAATTACCATCTCCCCTTTCTCCTTCCTGCCCGCCTTTATTTTCCTTACTTCATCTATTTTACCTTCTACACCGACTCCTAGCTCTTTTAGTATCCCCTCCACTCTTTCCTTCATGTCTCCTTCACCTCCTTTCACACCCTTCAATAACAAATTTCGCCTCCTGTCTCTTTTCTCTTTCATTTCCCATCTTCTCTCTAATC